AATATTAGTAAGGCTGTAAAACTAAACAAAGACTAGAAAATGATATAAAGAAGGTTCCTGAGTAGTCTAGTAGTGTCTTCCACTGTTCAGTGGGTTTCTTCAGGCTTAATTGTTGCACACTAAGTTCCCCTCTGAAGTGGGAATTAATAACCACACAGGGTTATTTTTTCTTTCTGGGTTTTTTTTTGGTGAAGCTTATCCCTATAACAGCTTTTTCAACAATGTATCTAAGGGGTTTATTGCCCTTTTTTTTTTTATAAATAGAAAACGACTTTATTGTCTCTATTTAAAAATACTACATTAAAAATACTGTGGTTTTGGTTCGTTTGTTTTGTTTTGTGGGGTTTTTTTTTGTGTTTGTTTTTATTGAGTTTGACTTCATTGTCTTCAGTTTTAGTCATGACCGCTCCTGGTCACAAACTTCACATTTCAAGTTGGGTACTCATGTTATCAATGAGAGAGCCAATCTCGTTTTTAAAACGTAAATCTGTAAATTTATTAAATTGAGCAAGCGATAGCAGATAAAAAAACCAGCGCTGGGTGTGCAGCGGTGCCCCTGCTCCCCCGAAGACGCGCATGCGGGGTCTTTGGGAGGCTGTCCTTTATATTTTTCAGTTCAAGGCTTCAGCCAATCCCGCTGCTTCTTTTCGCTCGGATGCTGACATGGCTCTTTGCCATTGCTTCCCTTTGGTGCTGGGGGTCTCATCGTCGAGAAGTTTCGGGAGATTTCGAGAAACGCCCATTACCAGCCTTATCACAGCCTCCCTCACTTATATGGTGCATATAACAAGATACAACTTCAACCTACCTAACCCCCCCCTTAAAGCGGCAATATCGAGGCAAGTCTGCGGCCATGCCTCACTGTCTTCCCCCCCCCCTTCTTTTCCCTCTCATAATCTTGTGTAATAATACAACTGACTTCCCTTTATAACTCACGAAGTACAATAGTTACGAAGAAGGAATATGCTTCCAGTTGCAGAGAGTTTCTTAGAGTGTAGCAAGCAATATTTCCCTGTAAACCTTTTGATGAACAAACCTCACACATTACACTCATATATATACCATATGAGTATTGTTTACAGTAGGTTATCTATATTTGCATGCAGCACAAGCAGTGAACAATTGAGGCAGGGGAATAATCTAATTGTGCCAAAATTGAGCTGCTTTTTATCCACCAGAACCTTTGCAGGAATCCTGGTGGCTACAGGTGGATCAGCCACTTCACCAGAGAACGAGAAAGTACTTTAATTGATGAATTATATAGGTATTTGCTTACACCAACATGATGGTGAGACTTAAGAAGTAGGAATTTGGGGCTTAGAAACCCTGGTTTCTGAAGGTTTTTCTGTTGTGGCCCCAAGCTCCTCTGCCTGTCTTGTCTAATTGCTTCCAGTCCTGTGTCTTCCTACCCTGTTCTTGCGAACATGTAGTTTGTGAACCTAAAAGGGGCGTGATGAATATGAGAATTACAGCAGCCTCTCCGTGTGTTAGGGCTCTGGTGCTTGACTCCATCAATGCTGTAGTAGCAGTGAAGGTTCTGCCTTTGTTGGGTAAGTTTTTAGAGATTCTGCCTCCAGCAATTTTATGCAAATGTCAGTTTTTTAAAGGGTTAGTACTTTGGCTCAATTTGGCTGTATTTTTACCAGAATGAAAAACAAATTCCTGACATACAAATTGCTTTTCATCTGACGTTTAAGTACGTGTTCAGACCAAATAGCTGAAAGAATTATGAGGCAGTCAGTAAGTACGATTTTTTCCATGAGCTCTGCAGAAAATGGACAGAGTTTCAAGCATTCAAAAGCAGAGTTTGGTTATGGGGAGTGTTATGATTGATACTTAAATAGTAGGTAGGGCTACAAGCCATGCCTGTAAGAAAGGTTGTAGAAATTAGTTACTCTAAAATGATGTGGTAATTTGACCCTTGCTGGATACCTGGTGCCCACCAAAGCTGCTCTATCAATCCCCCCTCAGCTGGATGGGGTACTGTAAAATGTAATAATTTAGGGAGTGAATTTACAGGACACAGAGTGATTCCACACTGACTTCTGTGAACACTTCTAATCTGCACTGACTGCCCTGCTGGAATTCACTTCTTGTACCCTGAAACTGGAGTTACTTGCATTATGTGGGTAACTTCTGCAGGCAGAGTGGACATTGGGATATGCCCTCTCTAAGCTGGCAGGATGAGAGACAGATGTGTTTGAAAATCCTAATTTCCACAGTAGCACTTGTGGTGTGTTCTGTTTATCAATTTCTCATGTCTCTGTGTGGACAGAGCCAGGTAATGTCTGTATACAAAAGGCTATCATAAGCATTCTCAAGTGTCCCTGTGGAAGTTGGTGGTGGATTATATTCTGTATTCACGCAATTTCTAGTTTCCCACCTGTTAATGCCTGAGTAGAGAGGAAAAAGCATCTTAAACATTACCTTAATGTATTCAGGAAATGTAGAAATATGTGATACGTCTAATAAAAAATAATAGTTACATGTGAAAATATATTCCATTCTAAGCTTCTCTTTTTAATTTTGAAATTTAACAGCATCATACCAAACCTCAGCAGGTTAAAAAACATCATAAATTCTTTTAGCTTTTTCCAGTAGGAGCCCGACGTGTTGGGTTATGATTTTTATTTTTTTTTAACATGATGACAACTTTTGTTTTCTGTTTGATAGATTCTCATGAGATCTGTTTACAGCTTTCCTTTCATAGAAAACAGCCATTTGTTTCTAAACAGTTTTACCAGTTGTTCTTGAAGCATTTGTGTTGAGAGTCCTTAGAGTGTCTTCTGGCAAATTGTAGCTGTCATTTGAAGATCATTTCCATGATACTTAAGGATTTCTCTAGGCTAGTTGCTTGTTACGTTTCTCATCCATGTATTTCGTAGTTACCTTTTTAACATTTATGAGTTTTGGGACCATGTTAGTAAACTGTTGCGTTTCATTGTTTGCAGTTCTGTGGTAGTAAGGCTTTTATTTCATATCCAATGCATTAATAAGAGGTTTTAATGCCATTTTGTATCAAAGGCTTTTGTCAACTATTGATTTTAAGACTGAGGGTGAATTTAGTCTTCATGTTGCACAGTTTGCTCGTGTGGTCAGGCACAGTAGAATGTATGCCTAGTTGGATAAAACACCGTTATAATAAAATTTTATGGTTTAATTACAAGTGTTTTTGGTTCCATGTATGTCCCTGTGATAAATCATGGGCATTTATTAAGATGAGGGAAAAAGCACGACCTTCTAGTTAGCAGTCTGAGCTCTTTGTGTTTACACACTTCTGGCTCCAGATATTTCTTGGAACTGAGTAGTTTCCAGAAGTTTGCCTGGTTGTCTGCTTGCTTAGTATACCCTCAGCTCTGGAAGCACTGACAAGAAGGGGGCAGATATCACAGGCACGCTGTATTTTTAGGTTGGAAACACTGATTAATGAGCAAGATACACAGTATTTTTGTGTTGTTTTTTTTTCTTTTTTTCTTCTTTTTTAGTTATACCATTTATCAGGTAAATACAATTTTATTCAACAAGTATTTAAGGAAATTGAAGCAAGTGATCTTTACAATGAAGAGGTATGATACTGAAAACCAGAAAAGGCTTTTATATGATCATTCTTCAAAAAACCCCCAGACATTCTGCTTATTCATGATGATGCTGTTTACTGTCTCTAGGCTGTCTCAGTATGGAAGACAACTCTAGTCAATATTTTTAAAACCTTGAAAGCTGTTGAAATAAACAGAAAGGTTTTGTTCAGATCTCAGGTAGATTTTTTTTGTTTGTTTTCCTTTCCCTCCCTCCCCCCCCCCCCACCGTGTACAGAAGGTTGATATCCAGTAGATGATGATGCTGAACTGATTGTTAAGGAATGCTTGGGGCTTTGAATGCCTGCCTGGGCCTTTGCTTCTTTTGGAGATCTCTTAAGAATACTGGATGTTCTTTGAAGAAGTTTTTTATGTAGGCTTAATATAAAATGTAAGAATCGAAAATAAGCCTTTTTTTATAAAAATTTTAACTGAAGACATATAAAGTAAAATTTCAATCAGGAAAAAAATAGTCCTATCTTGTGAGAAACAGTATTCTCCATGAATTTATTTACTAGAGCCACCTTAGAAAATTTGCCTTTACTGAGTATTTGTTTTAATGCAAATCTTAATAAATGCAGGGTATAAGAGACCAGGGGGGCCTCCATTTTTTAATAAGGAGTGGTTCTCTTTTTGTCAAAATTGCCACATTGTCTGATGTATTTCTTCCATACTGGTGTTTACTTTCCTGTAGAATTAAATAGCAACATACCTGGAAATTTTTTTTATTCCAAAATTTTGTCCTTTTATATGATGGTAAGAGATTTCAGTCTCCCAGTTACATTGCAAGACCAGTAAGTTTGCTGTGTGAGACAAATTTACAGAGTTTAGAGTATGCTACTGAGTGAAAAGCTGTAAGCCAGTAATTTTTGTTTGCACTTGACATTCTGATCTGTTTACAGTGTTCTTTCTGTGACAAAGGTTTTACTAATGCTTAGACTTCATTTCTGTTCAAGTTGGTTTCTGTGTAATTTAATCTGAAACTATTTTTCTGCTTTCTGGATTTATCTCGCCATATTCATTTTCTTTAAGGAAAAAGACTAGAACAGACCAGCAAATACCGAAATGAGCAATATGTGTTACTGGCAATTATGAACCAAAATATTGATGAATACTGACAATTAAATGTTACAACTGAACTAGTACATCAATGTAATACCATTTTTTTTTTCAGGTCATGTCCTGGTTTTCCTGATCTTTTCCACAAAGCTGTAAGAGAAATAGTTTTTTAGGAGAAATATTAAAAATATGCCATTAAGTGTATTATTGCATTATTTGTGAATATATCTCTAAAACATATTACTGGTTTGGGTTTTTTTTTCAGCATTAATAATGATTCTTCATGTAAGCACTATCATTAAAGTGTCTTGGAGATCAAATTACTAAAGAGGAAAACTAATAAAATGCTTATTTTTCCTTTATTAGCAACCAACTTCTGTAGCCACATCTCCTGTCTGCCTGGGACTTCCAGTCCAAGCCAAAGTTGTTCAGTCAGCTGCACCTGTCAGTGCTACATCTGCTGCTGCTCTGCCAGGAGGCTCTATTCTCGCCCACACCACAGTGAGTAGTAACAATACAGATGTCAAGGTGTGTGAAGAAAAGGATGTTTGTAGTTACATGTTTTTTTTCAAAAGTGAATTTAACGTTCTGATGTTTAGTGTTCATGTAGGAGAAGGGGGAACTGGTTTGAGCTGAAAAAGGGGAGATTTAGATTAGGTATTAGGCACAAGTTCTTCCCCATGAGGGTGTTGAGGCACTGGCACAGGTTGCTTGGAGAAGCTGTGGCTGCCTGGCAGTGTTCAAGGCCAGGTTGGATGGGGCTTGCAGCAGCCTGGTCTAGTGGGCAGGGGGTTGAAACTGGGTGAGTTTCATGCGATTCATGAGTTTCATGAGATTCTATGTTTGTTTTTACCGCAAACATAATCCCAGAAATTGATAACAAATGTATAGTCAGACTGTTACACAGGTCCTGAGTGGTAGCTTAGATTTTATTTTCTACTGTTTCCTAGATAAAAAAAATTGTAGGTACTATAGATTCAGTTTTAAGCTTCTTCTAAAAGAAAAAAAACAGCTGGACTTGCATACCATTTCAGTAGTGGACATGCTGCACTGCATTTGCCCCTGTAGAGAGTGGTGGTATCTGCTGTGTGGTTGCTGGTGCTGCAGGATCCATGGCATCTGTAGCATCACAGTGCAGGTGCACGGGTCAGCTTGTAATTGTGCACAGCAACAGCTCATATCCACATGACATGACACTGGTGTAAACCTGGTGACATGACCACAGATTGCTGGGAATTGACTTGTTTGTGTTAAGAGACAAATTTACAGCAAGTTGTGTTAGAGAAGTCACATCATTGTGGTGATCTTAAACTGCTGAATAATAGCAACTAATTTTTAATTGAACATTCATTTATATTATAAAAAGAGGACTTCACTGTTGAGTAAAGAGTGGCAAAATTAGGGTTAAAAGCAAGCAAAATCAATGGTTTTATCAGTAAGGCTGTATTTGAAAAGAAACAAGTTTTTCTTGTCAGGCTTTGAGAAACTTTATGGTTGAGTAAAAGAATTAAAGGAAGATAATTACCTAGTTTTTTTTCAATATAAAATATGAACAGGTATCAGTAGCTACAACGAGCGCTCAGAATTTATTCAAGGCAACAGTAGCAACTGGAGCATCAACTTCTCAACAACTTGCAGTAATTACTGGTGGACAAACTCAAGCTACAGCACAAACCCAGGGTCAGCCTCGGTTGCCAGTTCCACCTCATACAACAGCACAGGTACCAGCACAGCCCCACGTCATACCAAGCTCTCCTGTAGCTGGAACTACAGTTGTATCACAGGTAAGCTTTAACATATTACAAATTTGGTTTTCTTAGTACTTTTTAAACTTCTCAGGCCTATTCAGAAGAAGGAAGAATTTTTCCTCATGCCAGCACTCTTCCTGTGGTGGAACAAATAGTTTACAAACAAACCCTTCCACTCATTTCAGCTAAATAAGATACATATTCTGCGAGGGAGGATGAACATTTCTGATCAGTAGTGAAACAGCTATCCTCTTTCTGCTGACAGAACAATCAGGCCTTCAGTCTTACAGTCTTCATTATTATCATGTTACTGGGCCTCAAAACTCTGGTTATGCTGCAGTGTTTCCATTTCCATGAGTAATTATATCACATAAAAATAAAGGCTTGAAAAAATTAAAGCATCTGTTTTCCTACTGATGAAGAAAAGATTAGATAAGGTGATATTTGAATACTATTTCTAGTTTGATTTTACTGCTGTAGCTGCATTGTACAGAAGCATACTGAATCAATAATTTAACAAATTAAGACAGCTTGGGAAACGTTGTACATTGTGTAGTGGACGCTTAAAGGAGAAAGCATCTCCCAACAGGTTGTTGTTGGAGATACACTTCTCATATTTAAGGTTGTTTTTATCAAAGCAGACTGTAAACTATTAAATATATATATATTTTTTTCCTAATTTTTTCTTTTTTGTTTTTGTTAGTATTTGTGAGATATGGTGTTCAGTTACGTAAAAAAGTGAAGAAAATGTCAGGTAACTAGCAGCAAGATCAAAATACCAGCAGATGTATTTCAGTGTCCTGCCTCTATTAGAACAATTTCATCATTTTTCCTATTTATAGTGATCAGAGCATGCATTGATCCCGATTGCAGAATAGCGTGGATCTGATATTTCTTTTCTTTTGCAGGAAATGCAAGAGAATGTGAAAAAATGCAAAAACTTTTTAGCTACCCTTATAAAACTTGCTTCTCATAATTCACCATCTCCAGAAACATCCCGTAATGTGAAAGCTCTGGTTCAAGATTTGCTGGTAAATAATTATCTTTCATTCTGTCATTTATCTATTAAGCTTGTTATTTGCATATGGTAAGGACTATTGCTTTGATCTTAGTGTGGTTTTTTTTTTTGTGTGGTTTTTTTTTTTGTTTTTGTTGGTTTTTTTTTTCTGTAATGTAAGTGAAGGGCTGCATCAAAATTCATATATTCTGTATATTACATATCTTCGAAAGTCTCTTAAAGGTAGGCTGTCTCTTCAATTTCTGAAGGGGGAAATGCAACAAAGCAACAAAGCATATGCATTTGTGGAGAACACTCTTGTTTTGATGGGTAATACTGTGGTCTTTTATTTAGGTAAAGATAGTAACATATAGTATTTTCCTTGGGTTTTCACTCAGTTTCTTTTCCCCCAAACTGAAGTCTTTTCTGAAACAGTAAGAAGCTGTTTAACCACAGAATGGATTTAAATGCATGCCTTCACAATGTGGTTTATAATTTATAGGGGTGAAGTAAAAGTCTTTTGCTAAGCTGCTGAGTCCAGGCTGCTGAGTTCTGCAGGCAGATGCCCCTGCATGGAGCCTAAACTGCAAGTGGATTTCAAAAGGCAAAGATGTGTTTCAGCTAGACAGAGTCCTTGGGCCCAGAAAAAGTCTGACTTACACTCTCCAGTACCACTTGCATTTCAGTGAATTGTATAAATGAATTGCACACATACAGTTACTGTCGAGCTGGACAAAATGGTCAAGCTTCTTAAAAAAAAGATTAAATATAGTCTATGAAGAACTTGGATGTAAAAGCAGTTGATGCATATTTCTTTGAATTGGTTGACAGAGTAACCTGTGTGTTTAGACAAGTCTTAACACTTTTCATGTAGGAGACATTCAACAGTAATATTAATGATTCCAGTTTTGTTTTAACGTTTGAAAACTAAGATTACCTAAGTAAAGGTAATGACTATAGTATTTTTAGACCAACTAATAAGACATATGTGTAATAAATTCATTTATTGAAGGTTGGTTTTGTTTTTTTTTCTGTTCTTGTTCTGTATCAGTCCAGGAAAGCTAATGAATGTCTTTTTACCACCTGAGATTGTAACTAAAGATACTTTAGAAGTATTATAAAATACACCTTGATCACAGAGTTTTTCTGTATTAACTACTAAACAAACTATTATATATTTCATCTATTTAAACATGTGTGTTTTGTGAATATACATACATACATTTATACAGGTGGAAATTTTATATATATACTTATATGTATACTTTGTATATATGCATATGCTTTACATATATATGTGTATATATATAGATATATATGTGTGTATGCATACACATATTCTAAGTTAGATTGAACCCTCAAAATTGGTTTTAGAATTAAGTAAAGGTAATTTTCATATTAAAAGGGCTGGCAAATTTTATAGTAGTTGGTAAGGTTATTTCAACAACCTGTTTTTTTTTAATCAGTCTTTTAATTTTAAAAGAAGAAATCACTATGTAAATGTTAGCATGAGAATGGAATCCCAAAAAAGACTTAAGTGTATGGGAGTTCATTGTGTCTTAAATTGTACATGCCCAAGGGAACTTTCTGAATTCCAAGGGGCTTGGTGCATATGTAGATTAGCTCTTGACAGAAGGATTTTATAGGTACAGAGGAGTTGAGGGACTTCAGCTTTGGAAGTTGTTCTTGATATGGTAGCCCATTTAGCTAGAGGTATATGTATATACTTATCTAGAAAAAAAAGCAACAAAACAACTCAGATGAGTTCTTGATGCTTTTTCTCTTTCCCCCTAAAGGATGCGAAGATTGATCCAGAAGAATTTACAGCCCGCCTTCAGTCGGAGCTCAAATCATCTCCTCAGCCATATCTTGTACCTTTCCTTAAGGTGATGTGAATCTTGCTTATATAAATTTATTTCCATAAAATGTCATTACATGAAGTTTTAGAATATACTTTTAAAAAATATATTTGAAATAATTGATGTCTCTTGTAATCTGGAACTAATTTAAGATGGAAGTTCTGATGTGATACCAAATGGATTTATTGTAGGGTCCTAAATTAGTATATGTGGGGTAAATTTAACTTTTATTTAGTTCTTGTTGTACATCAGCTGCAAAAGCATCCATATACAAGATTATATGCAAACATACAAAATGTGTTTAATTATGCCCCAACAAAACCACAACTGTAATTCTAAAAACATTTTTCTTCTAGTCCAGAGCTTCTCAGTTTAGGGCAGATTTTTTTTTTTTTCCCCCCTTCAACTTTTCTTCAGAACTCTCACCCTCTGTTTCTGTTTTTTCAAGTTATTATTAACCCTTATTTGTGCCTTTTCCTGCTCTTACACTGCAGTCATTTATAGAATCATGATAAGTTTTAACTTGCTTCCTTTCTTTGAAGTTCTTTCTTGGCAACTGAAAGGCATTAAGTTTTTAAATAAATACTAGAGGTTTAGAAAGAACTGTAGCTTGGGATAAACACACTTGCATTCTACAGCTGCCTGGGGGGAGCACTTCAAAAGAACTCTACCACTACTTAAAAAGTAAAGTTTGTTTGTGAAGGTACAGTATAGCACCAGTTTTTGCTTGAACTGGTCTGAACATGAAGCATACACTAGTACATTTTTCTAATCCAGTCAGAATACATTAGATCAGTAAAAATACAGTAAATAGCTGTTGCTGTAAGGCATCAGCAGTTGTATCATCTTCCAGGTACTGGAGGCATGTCAGAAGTAAATTGGTGCAGCTTACTTCTTCTAGCATGCAGTGGGAATGGGGCTGTTCTTATGGTTCTGCCTTTTCTGTTTCAATTTGTTACCCTTCCAAAGACCTAAGCTACAAGTTATAGATAGTTTTGAGGAGGGGAGTGTTCTGTTTTATGGCTGTGGTGGAGTTAGGGCACATAAAAATTGACAGGTTGCTAAATCCAAATTTAAAGCTTATTAAAAGTCTAAATTGATTCTTGCCTCTTACAAGATATGCTCAATCTTACTTCTTTTTGATGAATAGGCCAATATTAAAATGGGAAAGCAAGCTGCATTCTTTTAGTTATGTTTACAGCAAATTTCAAAGTATTTTTTTGGTGTGCGTGCTAAATTTGGTATTTCATAAACTTTCTTCTGTTTTTAGAAAAGTCTACCTGCACTGAGACAATCTTTACTGAATAGTCAACATTCAGTTTTGCAAGGACAGCCGTCTCAGCAGTCACTTCAGCAAACCAAACTGTCACAAGTTATACCTCAGTCTGCCTCTGGAAGCATTTCCTCTGTTGTCACCACACAAACAATGGGAATAAGGCAACCAAACAACATTTGCACAGTCTCTGTATCAAATACAGTGCAGCCTCCTCAGGTTAAGGTGGTACAGTCAAATCAGAGTTCTCAACTGGTAGGTACTGTAGTATAAAAGAGAATTTCTTAAGCTGAATAGCAATTTTCAGTGTTATTTTTATTGCAGCTTGTTTTGGAAAATACTTTTTTGTTTGTATCATATTCAGTGATATTTAGTAGTTCGTCATTTTGTGGCAGTACACATGTATGTAAACTTAGTTCAGGCAATGTTATTGGCGTAGCTTAAATATAAGAAACTCTGCTCTTGTCTGGGATACCATGATTGTTATATGAGCACAGTGGAATGTGAGTTAATTACAAACGTAGAACAGAAAGCTTTTCAAGACTTGCAGATGAGTATAATTTTTACTATGTCGTTAGATATGCTGCTTTGTTTAGCTTCATCTGCATAGAAATTAGTTCTTATTTTAAATTCTTCTACACATAGTTATAAAATATTGTAGAAGAATAGCTGTACTGTACCAGCATGCTTTGTTTAGAAATAGTGCTGTACTTTGTTACTTACTGAAATATGTTACTGTTGTACATTCTGGAGTATTATGTGCTCATTAATTTTAAAGGCACTATCAATAAGGCAACTTTACAGTCAGTTACTCATTGAGTGTGGTGAATTTATCCTGTTGTTACATAGGATCTTGCATGTGTGTTTACAGTGGTAATTAAAACAGGTTTAAGATTTTTACAAGGCCTTGATTTTACACAGGCATTATCATCCTTCAGGCAAAGATGTAAGAGTTTTGTCTGTGGTTTCTGTGTATGTATGAATGAAATACTTGACTTAGATTTCAAAATCAAATTGACAAGTTCAAGAAGGTGTATCAGGTTGGTAAAAATTTGTCTTAATCATATCACCATGATCCAGAAATGCACATATGATAATGTAAAACCTTACAGTGATCTGTCTTTGAGCTTATAAGCTCTGTAAAGGATGTAAATAATTTGTAGGGTGTGTGAAGAGAGAAATATTTCTTTTGCTTTAATTTAAAAGTAGCAGTGCACAATCTAAATGCCTAAGCCAGCAAAGCCATGTCCTTTGAAGCTTACAAATACTTTCTAGAAGCTAAATTACTAGCTTTAAAATGAAATTAATATAATTTTACCATCCTTTAGTGAGCGTGGTTTGAATGTGTAAGAGCATCTTACGTGCTTACACTTCTGACTCTGGCTTTTGTAGTACACACAGACATTTGGCAGTTTTGCACCTTACCTTGTCTCCTTTTTGGTCAGCTGCTTGCAGTCTGTCTTTTTTAAGACGGGTTCTCCCTACCTCTGCCGGACTGTTGCATTAATCAGAATAGTGGTTTTAGGCTTTTTGTGGCTTCTTTATGATTTATCTCTGTTAGTCTGTGTTCAGTCATATCTGTGTAGGACTGAATTGACAATCACTTTGGTTCTTCAAGGTAGGGAGCAGGAACAGGTTGCAATTACAGGCAGTAGATGTAAAAATTACCCCTTTTTCTGTGGAAGGCAGTTTCTCAGAGCAGCTGACAGGTTTTTTGAAAGTATAAATGTTAATGGCCACTAAGCATAGACTTACTTTATGCAACAATCTTAGGACTAACCTCCTGCTGAGTAACACAGCTTTTCCCAGTTTTTCACAGCCAACTATAAACACTCATACCTGCTTTGCTGGTTGTACCCCACCTTTTGCCAAACACTGACATAGAACAAAAATGTTTTAGTAAGTCGACAAGAGTTCTTACTGTTACAGTTTTTGTGGAATATTTTCTGAACAGGATAAAGCCAAATTTATGGGAAAGACACTTCTTGTGTCTCTCTCACATGACAGTGCTTGCTCAAAGCAAGCAATCATGATGTTTACTGTGGTAGAGATTAGCAATATGAAGAGTTGCTCTGTCATCTTATTTGACATACCTGTGCAATATGAAGGAGCTGAAAACTGCTAAAGTAGTGTATTGTCAAGATTGATCTCATGGACCAAAGAAATTGTTTGTCTGTAGGAAGTCGTAGGTCTAGGATTGATTTTATTATTTTTTTATTATTTTTTTTCCCATCTTACTGGGTGCATGAAATGATCACTGCGTTTTCCAGAAGGTAGCAAACTGCATGGAGCAAACCTATGCTTAATACTGTCTGTTTTCTAGAAAATATTTAGGGAGGAGCAAATAACTTAAAAATTGTAATTTATTGTTGTATTGCAAAACTGGCGTTCAGTATTTGCTTTCATTTTATCAGCAATTAGTTAATTGAACCAAACATTACATTTAACCAATCACTTCTTAATGGCCTTCGGATTAGTTCTATACAGACAAAAGCAGCATCAGGCAGTAAGATCTACTGCATAAGAAAAAAGATGTTGTACACCACAACCACCATCAACTCAGGTGCCAAGGCAGAAAACCCAGCAGCATCTCTATATTGTACTAGTAATTGTTCTTAAGTATAGGCTTTTTTTGTGGTGACACTGATCGCACTCTTTACACTTCTTTGTGCTCCTCAAAATCAGAGCATAGCGAAGAGCTGCTGGCCATCTTGCCTGGGACTTGTCCGGAAGAGGAAGATTACAGCTGGCTTGCCTAGGGGTGGCCAGCACTGATGGAGGGAACTGGCTGAGCTCCAGACTTTCCAAGCCTGAAGCTCACTGGAGAGAGTTCCAGCTGGCTTTGCAAACTGTCCAGCTGCAGAAGGGCAAGCCTGTTTTGGAATATAGATCCTTCTATACCAGCTACTTTACAGGAGTCTAGTTTCTTTAAAAATGTGGGGAATCTGTTAGCGGTTCATTTGTTTTCACTTTCTCTTTTACAAAAGGGTCAGATATGGTGATACTTCTGCCAGTTATATGGAGGTATCTTGCAACATGGGAATTCTGTGTATGCTGTTTAGCACACAGTGTAGATTGCACAGAGGAGACCAGCATTAAAATATATAATAATAGTAGGTATGAAGGAGGAGACTATTTTATTTATCTGGCTTGTAAAGTACTAGAATTATGTTCCGAAACTGTGAAAAAGCTATGATTTAAAAAGCTAGATAGTGCTGTTAATACTGGTAACTACTGCTAGCTAGGGAAAAAGAGAATAATCTTAGGCTAATATTTTATTGATGAGATGTTAGTGAGATAAGCCAGCAATCAATTTTTTTTAATTGTTCTAAGAGCAGCATTCGAAGTTTATCTGAGTTGTCATTCTTAGGGTGCAGGAGCTCTATATAGCCTTATATACGTAGGCGTTACCTGTTTTGTTCTGGCTGTTACAGCAGGCAAAATTTCTATGAATGAGAGATACTCTCTATTAAATGTGCTGAAGTTGTAAGTAGATTGATGAGTAATGGAGATCAATGAGCACTTTATATAGAGAGTTGACACTGCATTGTAAGAAGAAAGTACTGCTGGGGTTTGATGCCAATTATTAAATGTAAATGACAAACAGTAAGAAATTGAAAGTGATCAATCTTAATTAAAAAGAATTTAATTATATGCAAGGCAATATAAAGGTTTAGGCAGATCTGGGATTTGGAAAGATGTGTAGAAATACATGTATACATGGTGACAGACCACTGGAACAGGCTGCCCAGGGAGGTTGTGGAGTCTCCTTCTCTGGAGACATTCAAAACCCGCCTGGACACGTTCCTGTGTAACCTTATCTAGGTGTTCCTGCTCCGGCAGGGGGATTGGACTAGATGATCTTTTGAGGTCCCTTCCAATCTCTAGCATACTGTGATTTGTTGCTGCAGCAAATCGTGCACAGATTCTGGAGGGGAAATTTCACCATCGTCCAAATTACATTGGAAAAGTAATCGCTAAAATGTTTACTATTGCTTTTTCAGAGACTGTTGTAGTGATTAGAGGCTCACAAAAGTAATGGAGTTTGGAAACAGGACACAAAAGCGAAATAAGCATGGTATTATATGGGGATGTTCTGCTCTGCTTCTTAATTCTCTGTTGAAGCTTAAATGATTATAATTCGTACACATTTTAGTGACATACAGGAAATAATTTTCGTCTTGTGCTGTATGCAAGACAGCTTAGGAGTAGAAGAGTAAAATATGGCCATTTGGATAAAAGAAGTAGTTTCTATTAATGAACTAATAAAGATTTATTTGATGACTTAGAATTTGCTGTACAATAAAATTTAAGTAAAAATGGCTGTTGAACAGTAGATGCCTGAGATGCACTGACAGGAACAAAGCCTGTATTTGACAAATTGTTTGCCTATTTGAAATACAGCCTAGAACTAACTAGGTTGTATTTCTTAGTTATCATGGACTTTACTCTCAGAATTTTGTGGGATGTACCTTAATACAAGGAGCATATTGGCAAAGAATGCTGTTTGGAAGTGAGTAATAAAGGATGGCAATTAAAGGACAGACTTGAAAGCAAAGACTGAAAGAAGGGATTAAGAGACTTAAACCCATGTAAATTGGTCAGATGCTGACTAAAAAGGAACATAAAAACCATTTACAAATATTTTAAGGGTTTAAACATCAGAGTATATCAATGAATTATTTAGAGTGGTCTGAGAGAGTGTAAGTATGAATAACAGGATATTATTAAGCAGAGGGTTTAGGCTGGCTATAAAGTGAAATATCCTTACAGAAAGATCATTAGATGGTAGATCAGGCTCCCAAAGGCAGTGATGAAACAGGCATCACTGAAAATGTTCAAAATTAGACCAGGTGAAATACTGTAGGAAGAATTGAATTGTAGGATTCAAACTTGCTCCTTAGAACAGGTGGTACAAGTGATCCAGTGGCTTCTGGTCTTATTTTTCTTCATGGCTTCTTTGAAAATGTATACTCAATGGAACAGTATTGTCATATTAACATTAAAAAATACATGCTGAGTTTTAAAAAAAGCCCATATCTGTCTGGTTTTGGTGTGTTCTTTTTTTTGCATATGCAAATTTTGAGGCACTGTTGAAAAATTGTAACTGTTACAGCATGGTAACCAATGCTAAATATGAAATCTAAGCCCATAAGCCTGAACATTGGAAGTTAATGCTGCCAGATTACATGACAGCTAAAGTTTGATATGACATTTATCTTCAGGAGTGAGTAGACTGATAAATCAGAAATGGCATAGCCACAAGTGAGTTAGCAAGTGTTTACTCGTGAGTGAAGATAAATGTCATATCAGACCATAGCCATTCTGAATTTTGTACATTTACAAGTGGCTTGTTTCTTCCTTCCACAATACTTTTTCTTTCAAGTGAGGGGAAAAAAAAAAAAAAAGAAAAAGTTTGTCAAGGGATATATTTTCCAAATGTCTTTTTGTTCTGTTTTTGTTTGTTTTGTTGTTGTTGTTTGTTTTCTACTTTCAAAAGCTTCTTTTCTGTTGCAAGGTGTGATTCATTTTAATTGAGTTAGGCTGGTATTGCACCCCTTGTTAAGTAAGGGGAAGCATATTGTTGGGGCATCTGCATTGGTAAAGCAGCATTTAAATTGCTGAAGACTTGCAAAATCCCTGTCCTCAAAAACTTAAGCAGTGAGTTCTGGTCTAATCGTCCCAAAGGATTTTTCCTTTCATTGGTCTGTAGGTAGTAGCTTTCAGTTTTATTTAGTATCTCCTGTTTGAATAAGAGAAAGATAACAAGTTATCAGTCTTTCTGCTTTTATACATTTTCTGTGCTTTGCCTAAATTCTTTCTCAGCCTAAATTTGCTGGTCAATTGTGCTGTTAATGGATGGTCTTCATTCTTATCTGTAATTTGTTCTTTGTCCTGCAATAACACATATGGTAGAAGATTCACATCTGTCATAGTGTGATCATCACCTTTTGCCTTGAGACTGGGATCAGAGATCACTGTTACTTTTTTCTCATACAGTTATTGAATACTTTTAAAGAAGGGCCTTAAGGAAAACGGGTACTTCAGCTGTCACCACTTAGTTATTCTGGTTACCAGTAGTATGACAAATACCCTTTTTTCATCTTTGTAAGTTGTCTTGTTTTGTGGAAACACCATTGTATAAACATCTTTTTACAGATGTGAAAATAAAAGTTAACTTTAGCAACAGACAGGGTAGTAGTCTGAAGCATTCAGAAAGTTAGAAAAGGAACTTGTCTGGCTGAGCAGGCAAATGTGAAAAAATGTGAACGTGCCTAGTGAAATGGAATGGAATGATGGTTAATAGGAGAATTGGGAAGATGAAATAAAAAAGGAGAGAATACTTTGTTGTGAGAAATGTGCATTGTTTATGCATAAAAGTGTTATTTCATAGAATAAAACTTGAGGTGGCTTTTCATGTATTGCAGTCAGAGAAGCAGTACCATGACTTTCCTGCCTTAGTGTGTTCCTTGAAGAGCTCCAGAGTTCATCAGTCTAGGAGTTGTTCTTCAACTTTTCATTGATAAATGAAGAGGAATGAAAGGAAGAAATATATGACAGTACTTGCTGTCTCAGTACTATCTTGTTCATAATTTTGTTCGGTAGTTTTACTGTTTTCCAATTTTTCAACGGCTAGATCAGATTAAATCTTTTCCTATTTTCTGTGACTTTGTTGTTACTCTTCTGTTGTGCTTGTCTTCAGTGGTGAAGTAATGAAAATGGCTTCCCTTCTATTTTGTGGAGATGTAATGATTAACAGTTTCTATAACTTTGGAGGTAGTCTGTCTTGTTACCTTTTCTGACTCAGCACTTGTATAAGATCATTGAGAATACAGTTACAGATGTAGTCATAAAATGTTGGAAAGGACTACTGGAGGTGTCTAGTTCAGCCTCCTCTTTACAGGCTAGCATGTTGCCCAGGGCCTTGACCAGTCATGTTTTGAAGCATCTTCAAGATGATATTACACAGCCTTTCTGGGCAACCTGTTCCAGTGCTTGCCCACCCTTGTGGTAAATCTTTTTTTTCCTTAGATTAAGTTGAAATATGCTGTATTTCAACTTGTACCTATTGTGTCACATCCTTCTGCTTTGCATCTCCAAGAAAGGCTGGCTTTATCTTCCCTACATCTTCCCATGAGGTGGTTGCAGACAGCAGTAAGATCTTCCCTTTTCTGAAGTAATGTCTCTGATAACCTGAGTATACTAAAAAATCCACTTCTGAATCTTCTAGCTCAGTCTGGGTTAGTAAATAGGTCCTCATGAATGGATCATCTGGGCATTTAGCATCAATTCAGCGTATCAAGAGATAGCAATAAATAGGGTACACACATTGTGTGTGATTTTAAGGTGTGAGAAATATGAAATAATATAGTTAATAATCTCTCAGACTAGCTTGATAGTACCTTGTTTGTTGTCCACACTTTTCATGCTGAGTTAAGGACATAATAATATGTTTATGCTGTTAGGAAAATAGACAAGAAGAGTTAGAACAGATAGAATTATTTTAATTGATGAAGACTGGTTTAGGTTGTTTATACATTTTAATGCACAGTCGAGTAACTGTTTCATCAGTATTTACTGTGTTCCTTGGTTGCCACTAAGGAAGGTTACACATTCTGTTTCAGAAACAAATTGCTAATGTGCATTCCTTAATCACTTCAGTTCTGAAGATTACATCTGTGTTGAAAGGGATCTTAAAACTGCATAGAAACTGGAATTTAAGTTAGTGTAAAACGTTGCTCTGAGTTCAGGTGCTGTTGTTCCTTTTAGAGAGTATGCACTTGTTGCTGATCGGTTTCTGTATGACATTTAAGATGATGATTTTGATCTGTGCCCCTTGGAGAAGTTATTTCTCAATCATTTTCTATACTTGCAGCACTTCTACATATGTTAAGTCCTCATACTTACTAAAGGACATTTTTGAATGTGTTTGATATCAAGGAAATAATTTGCATTATTTATGTAATCTTAAAATGGTTAAATGCTGTTCTGTCTTTTGTGGTGTTAATGGGTAATCTTTTAGGGCATTCACATGGCAATATTAAACAGGTGAAACAGAACTCGATTCTGAACTGTAGAAGTTGCTTGCTTCACAGAGGAAAAAAAATGGAAATCACAAACGATTATTGTAATACCAGATAGTAATTCTATCCACAGGTCACACATCTCCTTTTTGGCCTGGCTTCTGGCCGGTTAAGGTGTGGCTGCTTTTCTTCACTGTTCTCTGAAAAGTCATAAAAAAAATTTACTATAAAAGTGTCAACATTCTCCTTGGGTTTTGTACCAGTATGTTTTGGGTTTTGTTTTTTTTTTTTTTTTTTTTCTGCAGGCTATTCTACCTCTACTTATTAAAATGCACTTGTACATGTTTCCTGTGCATCAAAATGCAGTCAAATTCCACTTTCCCCTCATTTTTACTTATCACCTCTATTTCTTTCCTGTTTTAAGCATGGTAGCTACTTCACTCTTCCTCTCAGAATGTCACTATATACTTACTGCCTGTCTTGAACAAGTAAATTGACATCCATTTGCTCTGTTTTTGTGCTTAGTACATTTTCCTTCATTGTTTGTAGTTGGAGCTCAATCCTTAATCATTTTTTCCCTTTTTCTCTTTCTGCAAGGTAGCTATTGCTAATACTTCTACACCCACAGGTTTATTAAGACTTTTAAACTGCTGATATTTTAGGATGTACGGGATGCAATTTCGTAACTTCAGAATGGCCGTGTTTGTTTAGTTTGGGTTTGGTTTTTTTCTTTTTCTCCAGACGATATCACAGGTCTTGTTCCCTCGTTATTCTTTTCTTGTTTGTAGTTTTCACCTTCTCCTCATGGGAGCTGTGGTTCCTGCTGATGGAACAATTTCTTATTTGTTCCATAGCCTCTTTACTCTATTTTTACATCTCGTTTAAAAATACTGTTCCTCCTTTCCTTTCTCCACAGCATACTTGGAAGTCAGAGATGTGGCAGTTCATTATTCAGCTAAATAATACCAGGTTTAGGTATAATTTGTAAGAATAATGCCAACTGGTGCTGAACAAAGGTGCAGTGGTTCCTGTTTGCTTAAAGTAGCCATGTGTTGTGTGGCATGTTGTCCTCTAGGAGGGAATACTGCATCGTGTGGGTGTGAGACTGATTATGTGTAACTTAGGAACAGCAGACACATTATGCAGTGGGAGTAACACAGTTGTGACTGAAGAACATATGACTTCTCAAGTTGTCATATGTGAGCTGTGGTTGTTATTTTATTTGCAGCTATTTGCCTGTATTTTGTTTCCAAGTTTATGTATGGACTTTTTTTTTCCAGCTCTGAAGCATCTACTCATCTTTTAGACTCTTCTGTTCCTTACATCTGTGCCTACCTTGTCCTTGATTTCATGAACGTACATTTTGCTGTTGCTTACACATAACCCTTACAGACTTTTTCTTTTTGATTTAATTTGCTTATGGGTCAAATTATAAGTTTCTAACCCAGTTTCAGTTTTGCGTAGGGGCTTCAGAGCTTGGCTTAGTAGTAAGTGAAACCTTGAGTTTAACCAGTTAATACTTAAAAGATGAATAGTACATGATTGCTACAAAACATTGTTTTCTTTCTTGTGCATATCTGACTTCAGAACCCATGATATTTTTGAATTTACTTTTAGTATATATTTTTTTAAAAAGCGTAGCTATCTAGTGAAAGGCCTCATGATTGTAGGTGGAAACCACTAAAATTGTTGCAGGATTTTCTTCTGCAAAAATGTTTTTCTTCCTAGTAAAACTTGTAAAGACAGACGTCTAAACTTTAATATTTATTTTGAAATAGATTTTTGATGAAAGTTGTGACATGACATTTGTGTCGAATATTTTTTAATTTTACTTTTTTTTTAAGGCATAATGACAAAATAGGTATATACACACACACACAACCACATGCATTACATGAATATGACTTTTGTCACTAGCTGGTTGTGCTTTTAGAGATCCACATGTTTATATTAGTAATTACAGGTATTAGTGTATTTACGTTGTGTGTGTTTGTGTATAAAGAGTATAATATAAGTATACTTTTTTTTAATAATAGCAGATTATCCAGTCAACATCTGCTCAAACTGTGAAACGAACCCCTGCTTGCCAGACTACCCAGATTAGGATGCCAGTGGTAATAACTCAGACCATTAGACCACAAGGTATGGGTTTAAATGTTTTAGTGAGATTGTTACCTTTGTATGAATTTCATTGTAAATACAAACTAGTAGCATGGGAAAATTTTAAAGTGTTGAAATTGGCAGGCTTGACATATTTTTTTATTCATGCTGGCTGAGGAATGCATGTTTTTGCTATGCAGTTTCAAGGTATTTCAGACAGCTAAATGTTTTGGAACGCACATGCTTAGTCCTTTGCTCAGCAGTTATTCATGGAAGGTTCTTGAAAAAAGTCAGAATTACCATCCTAGACTCGTAACTCTGGGCCAAGAAAGAAATTCATTTGTTTTATCCCTGGACCTAGAAGATGCCTCAGTGTAATCACCCTATTTCTAACTTACTGCTGAAGCAGAGCATGATAGTCACTATGTCTGCAGCTACAGAGGTCAAGATAAGAACTCCAGAGAAATTTCTCAACCCCCAACTGCAGCAAAGTGACATGCCATGATCAGCCAGGGGAGCAAGAGGAGTGGCTTGAGGGCAACTTCCTCGTATCTCTCTGCACAGGTGGATTAATGCCTGGCTTATACATCCCACTTTCTAAGAGGGTTCTTGAAGCCTTCTTACTTTCTAATAAACGCTCATTTGTTTTTTTCCACTACTAAACCTATTAGGCTTGGTTTTTATTTTTCCTGATTATGTGTGCAAGTATCTTTTTGGGTGTGGGCATTTAGATGATTCAGGGTTTGTAATGGAATACAGAGCTTGTCATATTTAGATACTCAGAAATCAAACTAGTTTAAACTCACAAAATGTGTTCCTGCCTATTTGACTTAACTGTTTGGTCTTCTCTGTCCTCTTGGGAAAAGAAAGCATCAAAACTGGTTAACAGCAGTTGATGTTCTGCCATTCTCTTCAGAGAATCCAAAGGTTGAATGGGCATGGAGACCAAACTGTCACTGTAATCTTGTAGGCTGTTTTTCCAAGTTAGGAAGAAATGCCATTAAAGGTACCATATATTTGATAGCACTGATACTCATGTCCTGACTTTATTAACAGGAAAGGTATTCGACATCTTATAGCATGAACTTCCACTTCTAACTAATGTGTCTGAGACTGAAGGCTGATTTAATTTCTGTGCTTGTTCAGTCTCTGAGTTGTGAAAGTCATCAATGTGCCAAGAATTTACATGATACTGGCATCTGCTTTCTAAACACTAGTTTTGGAATACAAATTTATTCATAATAACAATTGATCAGCCAACAAAATGTAACTTAGTTGGCAGTCTGACTTAAAGAAGGCAATAGTTCATAAAGGCAAATTAATGCAAACCCCTGCTTTCAGATGAGCATATTCCTAATTACAAGCTTGTTTAAGCTCACCACTATATTCTTTTAATTATACAAGAATTTAGAAAACATCCCATTCTAAAACTGCCCATCCTGCAGCCTGTGTCTGGTGAAAAGTCTGTCTGTGTGCTTGCAGCTCTAAGAAATGCCGCTACGGCATACGGTCAGATACCAGATTATTTTGATCTGGATATATTGTTAAAACTTTATTTATTTATTTATTATTTATTGCTAAAACTTTCTACGGTAATGACCGGTATAAGGATGTTGTATACTGGCCTAGGTGTTCCTCTAGAAGGAAGTAAACAGTAATACGATGTGGTCTATATAGAAAAATAAAGTAGTATAATTTGGTGGAGTGTGATTTTTAGTGACACCAGAATTGAGCCACCTTCCACCAAATGGTACATTTTCCTTCTCAGATTGGAGTGAATCTCCTAGTGTGTTGTGTCTTAATGCATCTATGTGAACAGAGTATAATGCTTTTTAAAACAGTTGTACAAATAAACAGGCTTTAAGGACTCTGATATTAATAAAATTACTTCTACACTGGGGAGAGTGACACCATAGTTACAGCCAGAAAAATTCACACTCCTTTATCAGATCACTTGTCAGTATAATAATAATGTGAATTGCACCTTATGAATGGGAGAATTGAGCCATAGAATAAAGACCCAGCATATTCATTGCAGCTATTTAACCTATGCCAGAATACAACTAAGCTCCTAAATTGGGGCTTATTTCCCTAGATCTTCCTACTTAAAATTTTGAAACGAGAATGCAGTGGTAAAAGACTCTGTATGTCATTACCAATCACATGAACTATCTAGGCCCACAGTTGATTTGTGATTTAAACCTGAAAGCTTTTATGTCACCCCAAAACTTATATTTACTTTAGCAGATCCATTTGAGTAGAATTACACATACATGGGGTGAAAGAAAGAGGCCTATTTTTCCATATCCAGTGTAGACATACTCTTTTCTTAACACCAGGAAGCTAACTGATCTCTTGCTGTACCTTTTTCTTTTCTATTTTTTTTAAACCAAAATTTATCATATCATCTGTAGAAGACAAGCTGTTGATACTAGTTCTAAAGGAATGCTGTAGTAATTCTGGAGGAGTTAATGCCACTGTTACCTTCATTTTGCCACTGCAATAATTTTCAAGGTTAGCACACTTTTAATCTCCTTGATGTTAATTGTAGAAAGCAGAGATCTGCTAATTTTTATTATTCTATTATTTCTTTCCTTCCAGTTCACTTAGTACTGTTCACATACCTTTCAATTAGCTAATCTTAAATAGATAAATGAACTATCGTGACCATGAACTGATGCTATCTATGACATCTCATGGACCCTGAATATTCTGATGACAAAATATTTTTGTTCCTCAGGCTTGGAGCCTCAAGTCCTGAATCTTGTTTTGTACTTGCTAATGTCGACAGTCCACACAATGGTTGATTTATCCAGATTGAAGAACTGAACAAATACTGTTAGATCAGTTTAGCTTTATGATCATATGTTGAAGTTGTTGAAGACTTCAAAATAAAAGAAAGTAATGCTGTACTCATTCAAAGCTAACACTTTTGTTTTAGCAAAGAAGTGTTCTCACAAGAATTTGTTTGGGTAATACATTTCAGATTTTTATAATTCCTGAAAGAAAAGTAATGCAACTCTACTAAGGTTCATAGCATGTCATTTATATGCAGTTGAGTTACAGATGTGTAGAAATAACCTCATGTCCTTCTCAGAGTCTGAAGTACTATGTGTATGTAACGCTCAATAAAATTGAGTGAAAAGAAGGTGCGATCTTTTAAGTTAAGCAGACATGAACTCATTATTTTCACATGCCAAAACACAGGTGGGATTAAAGGAAATATAAAATACAACCCAAGTAAACATGTTTAAGCAGTTAAGGAGGGCTTACTCCGAAAGTTCAATTTATCATTCCTTTTTCATTTGTATACTGATGAAATGTTTTTAATAGTAATAATACAGGTCTGTTGATTTTTCTAACTAGCAACACAAATTTGTAATTACTTTTTGTTAGATATTAGAATCATAGAACCATAGAATGGTTAGGGTTGGAAAGGGCCTTAAGATCATCAAGTTCCAACCCTCCTGCCATGGGCAGGGAGACCTCACACTCAACCGTCTCACCCAAGGCTCTGTCCAACCTGGCCTTGAATGTCAGAGAGGAATTAGTATAAATGTTTTTAATATACTGTCTCAAGAAGCTGAATGGTCCACCACAGCCTGGCTCATTTAGAAAGCCCAGTTTTACTTCCAGTCTGTGTCAAATTTTACAAAAATGTCTTTTCCTTTACATATAACATGAAATATTTTAAAATATTTAAAATAATGCTTTCAACTCTGAAAATACATGTGTTTCACTGCAACCAAGAACAATGACTATGTAAAAAATATAAAAGGCATAGTTAATACCCTGAGTGACTGCGACTTAAATTGTCTGTATCAACACCATTTCAAATTCTGCTTCTTTATTCTGTGCAGATTATCTAGAAAAGTGGTTTAATGGCAATTGCAAACACACTTATAGCCATTATGTGTATTATAACCAGTTATGGCAAATGGTTTTCAGTTTTGGAGTCCCCAGTATCTCATAAATATTGAACAAACTGCAGGATTAATGTAAATTTTGTATTTTAAATTGTTCTTCTTCAGCAGTGTAATCTTTAAAAATAATAACTTCCTTTGTTTGCAATTTACAGACAGTTAAATTTAGTTCCTGGACAGAAGGTTCTTTGATGTAAATTGCCTAAGACAGCTCATAATAACGTTGCTTGGTGTTTTTCAGGCACAGTAGGAAAGGCACCAACAATACAAGCCAGCAAAAGTCCTGGGGGCTTTGGTGTTCAGGTCTCTGCAAATCAGAAAAACAAGCTGAATGACCCTGGAGGTGGTTCTTTCAGGTAAAAAAATAAAAAATAACGAGAAAAATGAGGGGGGTGGGGTGGGGTGTGCTTGGGGGGAATCTTAAATATAAAATAGAATTTAGAATTGGCTTAACACCAGAGGGCAGTGTTTTACAATAATTCCTGCCTTTTCTTACTATTATTGGGTGACAATTTGCTCACTTAGTTCTATTTTAAAAAGAAGGAGGGGGTCACGACATATCTTGAGGATTTTTCCCTAAATGCACTTTTTAATGTTTATTAAAGCCTTCAGTTCTGTGGGTTATAATAAAACTTCTGGTAAAGGGAATCGTGTGTATGAAGTTTTTAAAAAATACATGGGTGGTTTCATTCTATCAGATTCTAACATTCATATGGAATGTATCTTGCTGAGAAGGTGCTGAGTGTGACGAGAAGGCGTCCTGTTGTTAAGCTTCTGCAGCTATGCCCTTATCAGCATAGAGAAAATACTGTATGGGTTTGTTTTGTTGTTGGTTGTTTTTTTTAGTAGTTGTGTTTGGGTTTTTGTGTTGGTTTTTTTTTTTAGGTTTTTTTTGGTGGTTTGGTTTGGTTTTTTGTTTCATTTTTATTTGTTTGTTTGCTTGGGTGGGTTTTTTGATGTGTGCTTGTGACTGTGTGTAGGATTGTTGTTCCTGGTTGTAAAGAGAAGACATCGTATATATTCTTCACGTGCTTACCCTTCAGTAGCAGAGGTTGGGGCATTCTGTGGGTCCCTGTATTAACCAGGTGATGCAAAGGTTCAGCAAAGTAGCATTGATGCATTGAGTTGCTACACCAGCTCTATTGTACTTCAGATATTTTTTTAATATGTATTTCGATAGTTTTACTTTTTGTAGTGAAAAGCTAGTCTTATGTTTACTGCACTTTGCTTATGCTATCATAATTTTAATTTTTTTCCACTGATAAAAGTACGCTTTATTTGTGTTTCAACATTTTCTTTCTTTGTTAAATGACAAAGTGTTCTTAGATTTTCATATTCTGTATTTCTTATGTTGCTCTGACATCATCAAACCAGTAATTAATTTTCAGGCTTATGCTTTCACAGGTGAAGTAGAAGAGAATTTGTAGCTCTTTGAAACAGCTCTGCTTTGAGGCATGTCAGCATTGCAACTAATAGTGGTAGTACTTAGTATTAATCTAGAAGCAAAATCATTCAATTTTTTATTTTCCAATGCTTTTGCCTCCCACTGAGTATTTAAATGATTTAAAATGTCTGTTGGGTTCAATTGTACTGTCTTAATAAGTATTTTTTATGTTTGTAAGCAACATGAACATTTATTCTTCGTTAGTACAGCTTTCAATTTTACATATACCAAAAGGGACAGCATTTTTTTTTAACTGGATGTTGTAAACTGTGCCAGGATTGATTCTTGCATTCACTTAGTTTATACATAGAATATATTAGGTTAGCTGGAATTGTTAATTTTCCCTTGGGGAGAAGCAAATGCTCAAGGCACTGATTGATAAATCAATAAATCTTTAGTGAGTTTGGTAAATAAGCTGTCAAGGGTGTATGTCATTTTTCCTCTAGAGAACAAATTTTAGTCAGAATGAATGTGTTTGTTTCCTTGCATTGTTTTCTCCTTCAAAATAGTAAAACACAAAGCTGCATTTAAATAAGTCCATAAAATTGCAAGGATTTATTAAACAGCAGCAAAGATCAAGCTTTTTCTTGATATCTTAACAAAGAATTTAGTTGTTTGCATATTTGCATTTCAACCCCTAACCTTTCCTGAGGACAAATAGATGTCTGACTATTAAGCCTAAAGGCACAGAGCTGGAAATCTGTATTAATCCTCTGAATGCTGACTAGTTTTCCTCAGCATTCCCAGCGTGTGTGAAGAATGTGTTTTTAGCCAGAAGGCAAACTGGCATCTAAAGCAAAGCAAGAATTTTGAAAAATAGTTGTGTTATGTATAAATTTATTTTGCCCTTAGTGTTTTATTATTGCATATTTGTTTCATTATTTTATATTCTGCTTTCTTTAAAATAACTTACTTGAGCTTTTCACTTTTGTGAGCAAAATCTTGGTCACTAGAAATGGAAATGTGAACTTTATTTTCAGTTTCCTCTGTTCTGGACTGTGGAAAATAGAAGAAAGAATTACATAAAAGCAATGAGGAATTTTGCAAATTACAGCTTAACCTTTAATGTCAGTATTTATTAATGAACTCTACCGGATATTATAGTAGCTGTTTTATGAAGCAGAGTTTTCAACCCAGAACTTCTGTAACATAAAGTTGTTGTATTGATGAATTACTGTCACTTTTTGGTATTAAAGTTTGTTGTTGCTGAATTCTTTAGAGAGCTACAGACATATTCCATCTAGTTGACCTTTCAACGCTGTTAATATTTGAGGATGCAAATTTGAATTGTTTTTTATATTTTTTTGTTTCGTTTACAGTAAAGATCCAGACTTGTGCTTGTACCATAAGAGGTTTCCATAGTCCAGAGAAATGAACATACTGACATAATCTACCATTGACAACAGTGAAAGTAGCAAACTGTCAAAGTAATTATTAGCCATACTTCAGACTGTGGCCAATGTAAAGAACTAGTGGAAACATTTTTACTCCCTGATACTAGGTCGCAGTAGTTTCAGATGGAAGGGACCTTGGGAGGTCAACTAGTCTAACTTCTGACTCAGGGCAGGTTTGATCAGGGACTGGCCAGACTACGTATCTCCTAGGATGGAAATACTGTGTTTGTACTCTTGTATTATTCTCCCACTTCCTAACTGTATTGAATAAGGCTCAGTGGCATTACATGTGCAATGAGGCAAGAAGCGGACAGAACCATTCTTAATGTGTTATGGACAACTGTGCAAATACGTTGTTTTTCCTTTCTTATTTTCAGATAAGGTTATTTTTTGTAATTGCACAAATGTTTTCAATGCAGAAGAGAGGGGGAGGTATGTCACAAGAGGTAGAATGCAGGAGGAGAGCTCAGCTCTTAGCCTATTTTAAGATGTAGCTTGTGTTTGGAAGGAGTTTGAGAAACCATGCTCTCTTAAAAATAGCATGTATGTCAGAATGTTAGATTTATCCCATAAGACTTGGAATTTAATCCAGTAAAAAACCCTAGAAATAATTACTGAGACAATGTAATTAGCGTGAGCACAGTAATACACACCAAGAAACATAAAATTGTTAAATACTGTTCTGGGATGAAAAGGGAAAGATAGACATTAATCGTCAATCTAGACGACCACTGGATGGCATCTTTGTTCCACAGGATGACTTCTGAAAACTCAACTGGACTTAAAAGTTGACTTTTATAGGAAACAGTTTTGGAAGAATGCCAGCCCTCTTAACCTATAAATGTGTATGTGTGTTTCAGTATCCAAATCCAAGCTTTTACTCATGATGAAGTTCCTCAAAGTCGAAAATAATATATTGGTAGTTTTTCCCTTTAGACTGAAAAAATTTTAGTCCCAACTATGCTTAAAACATATTTATTTTCCATTAAACATTAAAAATTGCTTTCCAAAACATTAGGAAAAAAAATGTACTCACATTAGATTGCTAGTTTAAGATGGAAGAAAATTATTCTTTCCAGCAGTTAGTAATGATGATTATAAGTGCAGTTGCATTGATTTTTGGTAATTTCATTGGAATCCTGGTTTGTGCTCAAATTAATTGTGTGGTTTTATTTCAGGCAATATTTGTTTATTTATAGCATGTTCTCAGACCTATACTCTGAATTAAAATCAGAATAGTGAAAATGCGAAACAAAAGGAAGGTAAAAGATAAATTCTATTTCTCTGTTATCAAGTAAAAGTAGAGATAAGTATAAACTTTTAAAAATTGTTTTCTTGAAATCAAGAGTGCGATCTTGATTTTTGTATGGATGTTTGCTTGAAGATGAAGTTCTGGGCTTAATTCTGTTTTCCAGTAGCTTCTTCTATCTTATATAGTTTCAAGTTTGATTTATGAGAACTTCCTTTTTACTGAATTTGGTTTTGCTGCGGTTTAAAAGGCCTGATGGATTTGGCCTTGTTAGTCCTGGGTAGGTTACCTTGGGTGATGCTCTTTCTGTTTTGAGTGCTGAGGTTTTTAACCTCCCAAAATCTTAGTTTTCCCCCTTTGTTCAGCCTTAGTTCCTGTTTTTCATTTATAGTTAGAATCTTTTGAACTTGTCAGTGAAATATTTAAATCATTGTTAATTGATATGTGGCTAAGTGCATTTATCAGCTGTGGTATTTGGGGGCAGTTTCACAACTGGTTGGACAAGGCAGAAGAGTGGTTTAGTCATCCATGCGCTGAATGCGTAGGAGCCCAGTTTCTCCATGGCAGCTCCTGTGTCCCTCCTATGAGTGTCATATACATACCATGGGAAATGTGAAAGTGAAAATCCTTTAGACTCCTCATGAAAACTGTCAAGTTGGGAGATCAATTTTGTTATATTGTCCTAAGGAATTTCACTCTTAGAGAAGAAATCATATGCTTATCAATCATTGAAAAATTTTCCATTTTTTGCCTCAGTTGTTAAGTACGCTTATCTAGGTTTATATGAACAAAAGTCCCTTCTTGAAAAAATCCAGTATCTAAAAAAACATAGAAGTCTTCCACCAGAATGGACTGCTGTAGTGCAGATATCAAGGAAGGTGTAGAAGGGGACAGATTTCTAGATTTGTCTCATTTTGTCCTTACTTGTAGCTTTTGGTTTTGACTGTAGACATTGAACTTGTAACAAGCGACAGAAAGTATTCTAGGATTGCATCTATGTAATGTTTTGGTTTTTTAAATCTTTCAAATTAAGCTTTTATTCGTTTGCTTTATGCAGTAGTTGGAGTCTGGACTTGGATGTATGTGAGTCTTTTCATATTTATAGTCTCTAACGTTGTGTAATTGCTTCTAGAATATGCTGAAATAGTGTTCATGTCAGTAACAGTCCTAAACAGAATGTGCTGAAAAACAGATGGTTATTTTCACAGTTACGAGTCATACCTCATAAAGGTAAAAGATGCTTGGAAGATACAGGTATGGAAACTCAGATTTGGCAGTGTACTTCCTCAAGCTTCCTGTTAGGAAGGCTATTGTAGGGCAAACAAGTGAAGTCCTGCTATCATCTTCTCAAAGTGGTATTTGAGAAGATGATAGCATCTAATTTTTCTAAGACTACTTGACATATTCAGCCAATTGTTGCATGTTGCCGTGGAAAGTACCAGTGCACATTGAAACCACACTTGGAACCCAAACATACCCAAGAACTCATTGTGGTCAAAGAATCTTTCCTTACTATTGGTGTCCATTTTGATAGGAATTTGTGAAATAATGCAGTATTCCAAATTCATGTTCTTTCTTTTAATGTCTGTGGGGTTTTTATTTATTATTTTACTTCTAGTTTTCAGCATAAAAAGAATAGCCAAATGCTGTGTCTTTAGTGGTGATCATTGCCTGACCATCCTGGTTTCATTAATATTACTAACTCTCAGATGAAGAAAGGACACTTCAGTCACACCTTCTGGTACAGACAGATTGTCCGGCTTCTAAAATTTTCCTAATACAATCAAAGAAATACTTAGTTATTTCTGAATCCTAGAATATGTTCTATAAAAACAGAGAACGTGGTGGTTGTGCTCAAGGTGACCCAGCCACTGGGCATGTTGCAGTGATTATTTCTTGCGAAGCAGTTAATCACAAAATGAATGTACCACATTCAGAATTATTTTGTCTGTTTATTATCATAGAGATGATGATGACATCAATGATGTTGCCTCTATGGCTGGTGTTAATGAAGAAAGTGCCCGCATTTTGGCTGCCAATTCTGACTTGGTTGGAACTCAGATACAGTCCTGTAAAGATGAGCCGTTTCTTGCTGCTATACCTCTACATAAACGCATACTTGAAATTGGTGAGAACCGTGTCCTTTCCTTTTGATAGTGTTTCCTTTGGAATAAATGAGTATGCTTAGCATTTAAGATTGTTTTTTTAGGAGTTTCATTACTTGATCTTGTATTACTAAACTTTCAAGGTTTTTTGTGATAAAAGTCACTTAATTATGTCACATTGAAAAAAAAAAAGTATACTGGTGCTTTTAAACATGCTTTCCCTCTGTTTTTATATCCAAGGATCTCAAAGCTCTTTGCAAACATTAATTATTTCTCACAATCCTCCTTCATGTTTTACACATGAGAAGATTGAAAGAGAGAGGTAAAGTAAGTAGTACAGGTCACAGAGGACACCTGTGAATAACATTTAACAGAATGTTGAATTTGTCTGTCAAAATTTTATTTCACTGTGCAAACCAGTTATATCTTAACATGTGCATGTATTTAAGTTGTGATTTTCACATAGCTTTTTTTTGTTTGTTTGTTTGTTTGTTTTCCCAAAGAAAGGTGTGTTTATTTGTCCTGGTGATAAAAGTGTATTTATTTGTTCTGCTATTTGAAAACAGAAGTTAAAAACCAGTGGAAAATTAACTCATCACTATTAGTGATATTTTAAGGTTTGTAAGTATCCTCAGAATGTATTTAATATGACATACTTAATGTACTGTGTATGTTCTAGTACCTAAATACATCTTTTTCAACACGATTTTGGTAATATTTTCAGAGCTATCAGTGTCTTTAGATGCTAAGCTCAGAATCTGTAAGGGTGTGATTCATGTATTTCTTTTAGAACTATGCTTGTATCACTGGTAAAATTTTTAGGGATCTAGTAATTTTAAAGATAGAAAAATCTTGTTACAAATCAGTACCGTTGGGTTTTTATGTTATGTGGTTACTTCTGAAATGTTGTGTTGTGTTCATTGAATTAATGGAAGTCTTTTTCATATTGCAGTTGCAGGTAAAGTTTTTCACTAGCTTATTGTCAAGCTTCATTCTTGGACTTTAACTAGTGCCCTTTTAAGTTCTAGGAGAAGTAAATTATTTTGCATGCTGTAGTTACTAGGTTGCAATGGTGCGATGATGGCATTATGTGATATTATCTGGGAAGGCGTATGCACAGCATTCTGTGAGATGGTTCACCACCACCTGAGAGAGGAAGCCATCAAGGTTTCAATTAAACTTGAGTAACTGTTGTGCAGAGTGCTCACACAATAGATAATAATGGTGTAAGGAAACAAAAAGGAAGCAGACATAAAACTGTTATAAGAATGGGAAATCAGTAATAAATTTGCCATATAAGCCTTAATGAACTGTCTGGGTGTAACAATTGCTGCACAACATGAAGCTGTAATTACAAGTGCAGGACTTAAAGGAATCTGTACATACTTTAAGAGCCACAGAATCCATCACTCTATTCATCACTGCCTTTTGGGGTTTACTCCTCTGAGGAACAAATCCCCATGGCTGTTTTTGAAGCTTTATTGGCTTTGATAATTGAAATGAAACTTTCAAAGCTTTTAAAAGCAGCTGCAGGGATTTACTTCTCAAAAGCAGTGAATCCAGAAGAGCGGCCACTCCTACTGATCTCCTGAAGCCACTTTTAGAGCTTTATTTTGGCTTTACATGAAGCCTTTTATAGTTTTGAAAGTGGCTGTGGGGTTCACTAGTGGCTTCTATCTGGGATCTGTGGCCCTTGAGGAGAGAATTCCTTCAGCTGGTTTTGAAGTTTTAGAAGCTTCGTTTTCACTGTGTGTGGCCAGATTTGTTGTTTGCATAGGACCACACACAAATGTAGTAGTTTGTGCTACTGGGCACTTAAAATAACGACACTGTAAGGTCATGACAAAACTCAGTCTTACCATATGTTGCTGTGCCTAGACACACGAAGGCTAAGCAAAGGAGGCTGTGACCTTCTCAAGCACACTGGGAAAAAGAATGTTGTGTGAGTCTTCATTCTTCTGTTTTTGTTAAGCCTGTTGACAAATGACATAAAATACATTGTTTCTTCTTACTTTTACCTGAATAGGGCTTAAACAGACTTTATTTTCTACCTTTAAGTCTATTCATACTTAATCACTTCAGTTTTAGGGCACGCTTTTAATGTTTTAGTAAAAGAGATTTGTGGTATGTACAATAATAGGAAACTGCTCTTCTTTCTTTCTCAGAAGCTAGATCTTTCAAGTTTTCTGTAATATTAATCTCCTTCTCTTTTCTGAGTAAGAGCTCTGTCGAGCAACTCAGTAGTGTTCCCCAAAGGCTGTTTCAGAGATTGTGCTCCCATTCACTAGAGTCGGAATATAAACTGCTAAAGTAAGAGCAGATGCTGTTCAGTCTTTGGCAGTAACCACCAGCCAGATGCCTCAAAGTTACAGTGAAAGAGGTTTCCTAATATATTGTACATTCCTACCTCTACTGTAACTTTGTAGTGTTATCATCCAAATGTTACTTTAAATCTTAATGACCAATGTTATTATTGATCCTTTTAAATGGAAGAAGTAACTGAAATGTAATTCATGCAAAGATATTCATTCACTTCCCACATGCTTCCTTATCCAATTCTGTATCTCGTCTTTGGCTGGTAATCACTGCCACTTGTTCATGTAGGAAGACAGGGCTATGACTGTTACAAATGCTTTGATGCAAAATCAAGTGGGTATTTCTTAGCAGATAATGGTGGGCGTTTTTTTTTGCAATTTCATTCAGGATCATAAAACTTTAAACCCTGATCTTTCTACATGACAGCACAGTACAATGAAACATATGCAGAGTTGTAAGGCTTTTGTTTCTCTTTTTGGGAAGCTGGGAGGCAGAGTTTGAAGTTCGTCATGCATGTGCGTTCTGATGTCCATATAAACTTCCGAGGTCTTTAACTCTGTTACTAAAATGGGTAGTATTTCTTTAAAGGGCAAGCTAAGTCAATTGGACGCTCACAAATAAGTAATGCTGAAAAATCCTAGCTTTTTAATGTGGTTTTATGGGAAAGAAACAAGAAAAATAACTTTCGTAATTATTTCACCTTTATTCGTTTGTAAGGTGTTTTTTTTTGTGGGTAAGAATGGTGTATTAGTTAAGTTTTAGAAGCTGGTTTGTGACATGCTGTTTTCGCTGTTTACCAAAAGGGGCGACACTTCAATGAATAAAATAATTTGACTTACTAGGTTGTTTTTAAGCTAACAGTTTCCTCTGGTTTGTACCAACCTTGTGAAAATGGAATTTTTTTGGCTCAGGAATTACTTTGTTACAGCATTGTTTCTCAGAGCAGGTAAGAATTAGGATGCATTATATTTTATATTTAGTATTCAATAGTAGTGAAAGGGCATATGGAAGGATGGGATAAAAACTGACCTATTTTATATTGCCTGCTAGCTAAATCCGTGGAAAAGGGAATAGCTATGTTATGTATTTTTCTGAGAAGTCTATTGACTGGGATTTGGTGGTCTCTAGAACACCCAGGAGTGGTTTCAAAAAGCTTGCTTTATGTTTTGTGGTAAACCATGCGTGATATTCTCACAACCTCAGAATCTGCAGCAGTTTATTAATTCCCACAGCTTTTGTTTTAATTCTGATTTTTTTTTTTTTTCTACAACCAGATGATGCCATTTTGCTTTTATTGGCTATCCCGAAAATGTCACAACTTGTGGAGAATCTTAACCGTAAATTAGCTGTCTTAATGTAGTAATAATGAAATTCAAGTTAGGCATACTGTATTCGTTGACATAGCTTAGTTTTTTTCTCTCTCTTCACTTTCAGTGTTCTACACCCTATTTTTCTACTTCATTTTTTATGGTTACAGAGCACTAGCTAAATAGAATAATTACAAATGTGAAATTCTAAGAAATGTGGGACTGGCTTGGCCATACTGAGTACATTTTAACTGTCCATCTTATATTTTCCAAATTCTTTTTACCTAAGTATGTATGAAAAAAGTGTATTGGTGGATCATCAATTACATTTTTATTTTACATTCATTTGGAATTATTTTTACACCTGCATTAGGAAATCTTTTTTTTCTGTTGTGTGATTTTATGAAATACTTCATTTATGTCTGGTTTCTAGCCTTGTTATAAACTTCCTTTGGAAAAATGCTGTTACATTGTCAACACAGCATACACCTGCAACATTTCCTGTCACAATATTAGTACTAGATTCCCTTGTTTCATCCAAATAGAGTTAGGCAAGAACACATATAGTGGTGCAGGCCAGTTATTACGAAGTTTGAAAGTGTGCTGATGAATCCAAATTCTGCTAGTCCAGTCGTTAAAAAAGGCCTGCAGTCTTTCTTGAAACAGCTTCAGAGAAGCTTGGCTTGAAAGAATTAAGCCACTGTCTCTGTTAACCTAACAGTTATAGTGTTAGGCTCAACATAATTTATAGCTTTACATGTGATACATTTTTTTAAGTCAGTCTGAAGTATTGATAATTGTTCTGCCTTCTCTCTTCTGTCATACTTGAATTGCATGTCTGCTGTAAAAATGCATGTTAAAACATAAGGAAATAGCTTATGTTTTTTCTGTATTGTGGAATGTACTGAATATGCTATGTGGCATCACAGTGGCAGCCCAGTTGTATGCATGCATGTGTATATATTGTAAATAAATAATTTGAATACTCTAGAGGACATTTTATGTTGCTAAACCATCTAAAAATTGATTGGGATATCATTCATGAAACCAAGCCAGTAGATTTCAGAGCTTCTATTTAAACCATTTGTTACTAGTTTAATAAGAGTCGTTCTGTCACCCTGCTTCATCTGTTTGTCAACAGTTGTGCTTATGTTTGAATGAGATGAAACTGCACTATTGATGATTGTTCTTTCATATACAGAGCAGTTCTAACATGAAAGTACACTTCTCTGGTTGGTTTACTTTAGAGAGTTTTTATAGCTGCTTATATTACAGCTGTGGGTTCTGAAATTCTGAGCTATTGTATTGACTGTGAATGTAATCTTTTGTTTTCACTGCACTTTTTGTTGATGTGACTTGGTAATTTTCATTGTTGACTTAACTTTTTATCCACGAGTTGA